CATTCATTCACCAAACAATAAGTGTCTCCTTGGTGACATTAATTGATATGGGCTCTGTCCTAAGTGTAGATTTAATGTTAAAATAACCTGTATTTTCTTTATATCTCTGTCTGATTGCTGACATATTGGCTGAGGATTCTTTGGCTCAATTTAACTTAGATATCATGAAAAGGAAATGTAGTATTATAGCCCTGACCAAAAGTTCTCAGCAGCTGACAGGCACTAACTGTTTCCTAACTGTTTTCCTAGCTGCTCTTGGCAAGACCTCCACTCAGTAGCTGGAGTCAGTGGCTACCAGAAACTTTTAGCAGCTCTCCATTGCTGGATTAGAAACTGCTGGGAGTTCTAGAGCTTCTCCAGCAGCTTTTCTTTAGCCATCCCAACCATCTCAGATTTTGGTAGCTTTAGCAGGTCTCTGGATAGTAGGCATTTTCTAGGCCTGTAGCTCTTGGTAGTAATGTCATCAGATCAACTCCCTCTACTTGAGGTACAAATGATGAATTCTGGATTGGATATTTCTTAATAGGTCTAGCTCTTTAGAGCATGCTGGAAACCATGGGTTTGAACCATGCCATAACTTAAACCAAGCATGATGCCATATGCCCATAATCCCAGCACTCATGTGGTAGATGCAGGAGGGAGGATTAGGAGTTCAACATCATTCTTGGGTACATAGCACGCAATAGGTCTGCCTGGGCTATTTGAGACCCTGGTACAAGTAAGCAAGCAAGCAAGCAAGCAAGCAAACAAACAAACAAACAAAAAAAATGGCAGTAAAATCATTTCAGGAAGGCTTTATTAGGGCCGATGCTATAGCACATAGCACAGAATAGAGCATAGATTTTCTAGCCTGGCCTGAAAGAAAGTGAAGAAATCTGCGTATGTAGTTGAAAAGGGCAGTCCAAAATACATGTCGTTTTCTGACTGGTAACACAGACTTTCTGCATTGCTTGGCAGTTTTCACAGGCTGTAATGAGGAGGAGTGGGCTTGCTTTTTTAGCCACCTGTGTAGCTTAACCCCGAAATAACCACACAGAAATTGTATTAATTAAATTACTTCCTGGCCCATTAGCTCTAGCCTCTTATTGGCGCTCACATCTTGATTAACCCATTTCTATTAAATCTGTGTATCACCACGTGACTGTGGTTTACCTACAGTCCATCTCAGTCCAGAGATTCATGACGTCTGCCTGTCTCTGCTCTTCTTCCCAGTATTCTGTTTTGTCTTTCCTGCCTATCTGAGTTCTGTCCTATCAACTAGGCCAAGGCAGTTTCTTTAATAACCAGTGAAAGCAACACAAATACAGAAGGACCTCCTACACCAACAGGCATACTGGGCTTGTCTGTTCTGACTGTCAGTGGTGAGAGAGGTGTTTCTCAGAAAAGGGAATAGGGACATCTAAAGTGGTTGCAGCATTGTGGAGTGTGTCTGGAGTAGTCATAAGTAGTACCCTAGTGAAATATTTTTAATGATCATATCAGCTGTGCCATCAGAACAAGTTTTCTCTGCAGCTATTATAGAGGTTATTTCACTAGGTAGTATCACCAAACTCAGCTATTGTACTTCCCAAGGCTTCCCTTGGGGCACTAGTGATACTGGCAGCTAGATTTTGACCTCCGCTGGTGTCATGACAACTTGAATTGGCCACTGACATAGCCTCTAATTGATAGCTCCCATGACATTTGTGGAGATTAAGATGTCAATGTTCTGGCTTCCAGCACCTCTAAGGGACTGCGGAGAAGCAGTAATGATGATTACAGCCTGTATTAGAGGGCTGCAGGCATGGTAACTCCAGTTCTAGTCTAGTATATATCTCAGTGTAACCTGTTAGATCTGCCAGGCAGTGCTTCAGAGCATAGACTATTAACAGAATAGCAACAAACAACCCAATTATGGTAGCTATTGCTATCTTCTTTGGTTCTTCTTGGGTGTCTACAGGTTGTCTCTAGTGTTACAAGTGGTATGGCCCCCAGATCTCATCCTTGCTCTTCCTCTGCTCTGTCTTGTAGGCCTGGTCTGACTTACTGGCTGTACCTTAGTGTGGTGGCAGCTGCAGCTGAGCAGTGGCTATAGAGAGAACTTGACAGCTGTAAGCTAAGCATCTGAGCATTGACACTTGTCCCTAACAATCCCTAACCCTCTGGCCATTTTAGATGAACAAATGGAAAAGTGTTTTAAAATAAAGTGAGTGAAGAACATCTCCTGAAGATATGAATGTAGAGATGGCTTGATATATGTTACCGCAGAGAGCATAATCCTTAATTCTGTGAAGGAAACCAGAGTTCAATATAATGTTGCATTCTTTAGTAAACAGTCCTGAATGTACTCCTGGTTAATCTGACTTTGTGGGTGGTGCCATTTTATGGGCTTAGGTCTCATACCTGAATTAAAGGAAGAAGTCATGCTGAACACAAGCATTCATCATCCTGTCTGCTGACAGGCTGCAATGTGAGCTGCTACCTCACTTTACTGCTACCATGCCTTCCCTACTTGATGGATTGTGCCCTCAAACTATGAGGTTCCTGTTGTGTGCCCCCTTCACGCTTAAGTTGTATTGATCAGACATTTCTTTTATTGTCACTAGGAAAGTAACTAATACATTTTCTCTACCTATTACCTTATAAAGAAAATATATCAGATGGCTCAGAGGTTAAGAGCACTAGCTGTTCTTCCAGAGGTCCTGAGTTCAATTCCCAGCACCACATGGTGGCTCACAACCATCTTACAGATCTGATGCCCTCTTCTGGCAGCAACTGCTTCGGGTTTATCTTCTTCTTGTTGGACAAGTGGCTCACCAGTGATATCATCAATCCCCAGCACTTGAGGAGGGTTGAAGTCCAAGTTATAGACTCTCTCGCTAGAAGGGGAATCCATCTTCGGCTCAGACGATCTTTAAGTGTCTTAAAAGGGATATTCAGACTAATCACTAGGTCCACATCACAGATTCTGTCCAAGGCTTCTGCCTGTACTAATGTCCTCGGGAACCCCGTGCTGGCCTTGAGGTTCTCCCGCAAGAAGTGGCCGCTGGAGAGATGCTGGAGGCCAAAGTTCTGGGTGATCCTCTGGCATACGGTGCCCTTACCTGAGCCTGGCGGCCCGAGGATAACCGCGGGCAGGAGTTTGGAAGCCATGGCTTTGGAGGGGAGGGGTTGTTTGCAGGTATATGGGCATCTCACTGGTGACTAAGCTTTTGAACAAATTATCTCTCATTCTCTATCAGTCTTTAAATGCATAGAAATCTTTAGGGATGTCTGGGCCCTAACTCTTCTATCACAGGGTGTTTTCTGGTTCAATTTTGTACATATAATTACAGCTGTTCTTAGTTCATGGCTATAGCCATGACATGCCCAAAAGTTAGTGTACCATTCCACACCCTAACCCTAGTTCTTAATTTTTTTTCTGTCCCTTCTTCCATGTTGTTTCTGAGCCTTGGATGGGTTATCTCATTTATAGCTGGGCATTCAAAAGTCATTTAATTTTAGTACTTTGAACACTTAATGAGACTCTGAGGTCACTGATGACTAAGGCATAAAGAGCTATTCTTACCATAGCTGACAGACAGTAGTACTAGTTTGTGGGTACAGTTATTTAGAAAGCAATATAACAATCATATCATGTCCATTTAATAAAAGAGCTGCAATAGCTTCCCTACTGTGACACCCTCAGTTGTGAACTTTTGACCTTGTTTGTGGGATCAGATTTGAATCCTCTCCTTGGACCAGATGACAAATGTGTTAGAAAGTGGTTGGTTACCCTATGAACAGACTAGCCACTGTTGCACCCATGGGCTCATTTGGCCAACTTGTCAGTATTATTGCACACAACATCCATAGCTGAGTCAGATTGTGGATGATAATTTTCCTTCAGTAAACTGGCAAGTAGCTGATTTTGATTTGCTAATGTAGATATATTGTTGTATGTTGTTGCAGATTGTTCCCTGGGACTTGTGAATGCTAGATAGGTACTCTGCCACTGAACTGCAATCCCATCCAAGATTTGCTAATACATAGTTGAGATTTTTGTATATTTTTATGAAGGATATTAGTCTGTGGTTTAGACATTGAAGGATTGGCCCCAGATGGTGATATAATTTTTCTTGTCCCTTATTCCTTCGTGTGTTGCTGTTTTTCTGCCTCATATCTGGCACGAGGTGAATCACTTTGCTCCTTCATGTATTCACAGTAACCATGATGATCTTTTCTAAGTAATCATAACTGTAGTAAATTTCGCTGTATACTGTGTTCAGGTTTAGATGTTACGCACTAGTATGATTTGCCGTGTTTCCATTTTTAATTCATTTTGAAATGTATTCTAATTTAAACATTCCTCTTTGGATTTTTTTTTTTTTAAGGACAGGGTCCATGTAACTGAGCCTGGCTTTGAACTGAACTCTTGATCCCCCTGTCTCCAGTTCCCAAGTGCTAGGATTACAGATATTCACCACCATGGTGCAATTGGTAGTATGCTTCTAAGCAAGCATGCAGACTTGAGTTTAGATCCCAAGCCTAGACTCGGAAAAGAAAGTGGTTACATAGAGTTACAGTCATTAGTTGGTGAGTCTAGCTGTTATTTCTTTCTCAGCATGAGATAGCCAATAATCAGACATCGTTTGCTGTCTGTCCTAAAACTTGTGATGTCTTGAACAATAATTGAATTATATCAAAATGGTTAGTAAGTTGAGTTTGGTATATAATGCTAGAAGCTTACCAACATGTACACATCTCAGCACCGGAAAAAAACATCATAGGCAAATCATTCACTTAAATTATGCCAAGGACAGTGTACTAAAAATCTTTCAAATTCTACATGGTTTAGATAAATGTGATATGTTGTTCTTCATTTTAGTTGTTTTTAATGAACTATTGTTATACTATTTATCCCATATGTATATGTATATATATACATATACACACATACATATCCCCTCCCCTCCCCTAACTTCTCCCAGGTCTAGCTCACTTATTTCTAATATTCAGATATATGATTTTATCTTTATCAGTCTGAGGGAAAAGGCCATAGCAGTGCTGGAGATGCAATATATGAAGTGGTGAGTCTTCACAGAGAGTCTGACAAAGAAGAGCCAGTCACTCCTACTAGTGGAGGGGGGCCAATGTCACCCCAGGAGGATGAAGCAGAAGAGGGTAAGAACTTGAATGTGTCAAAAGTGGAGTGTGCATGTGTGTGTGCATGCATGTGTGTGTGTGTGTGCATATACATGTCCTCAATCTGGGCAGTTCGGTGATTGATAGTTGTTCCTGACACACTTATTTTAGATTCTTTGACATGCAGAAGGAGATTTGGTCCATTTGGTTCTTTCTTTGGTTGCGCAGTCCCTAGTGCCTAAGCATTATTAAGCCACTATTTAAACTTGGTAATATTGCTCTGCTAATTTGCTTCCTATTTGATTTCAAATATTTGTGAAGTATTTAATGAGAATTTACAAATTCTCTGAAGTATTTTTAGAATTTCTGTAATATATTCTGCTTATCTTTGACACTTTTCAGTTTCAACCTGTTTTTGTTGTTTCTATATTCTTTACCACTTACTTCTGAAGTAGCACAGTATTTGTTCTATTTACTATATGAATTCTGGTGAGATATGCTTAAAAGTCTCTTATGTCATCTGACTATGGGCACAGTTCTCTTGATAACAAACTACGGCTAAAATGACAGATCTTAGCTTTAAGCTTTTACATGATTGCTTCTAGTATGGGATTTGTTAATAGTACATTTATTTTTTCCTTTTTAAAAATAATATATATATATATATTTTCCGAGACAGGGTTTCTCTGTAGCTTTGGAGCCTGTCCTGGATCTAGCTCTTGTAGACTAGGTTGGCCTCTAACTCACAGAGATCCACCTGCCTCTGCCTCTCGAGTGCTGGGATTAAAGGCGTGCACCACCACCGCCCGGCTTATATATTAATTCTTAAAATCCTGTTTCTTTATATTATTTTATGTCATTTTGACAATCATAAGTTATTATTGATTAATAATTATTGTTTCCTTTTTTACTTATGAGGAATCATTCTGTTTCTAATGTATCAACTAATTTATTGCTTTTGAATTGTACACATGCTTTTATTAACTTGGCTCTAGGGATGGAACCTTCCCATCTAGGGATGGCACAGAGAACAGAAGCCACTTGGTTATGTCACTCAGCTGCATGGGGCAGTGCTGATATCTGAACCCAATCTGTTTGATTCTAGTAAACTAGTTTGTCAAATTAAACAAGTCACTAAATTTATAAGCATCATTTTAGAACTAAAGCAATTTTGTCCATAAGAAAATTAATCATTTAAAAGCATATAATATGTTTACATTGCTGAGATAACATCTTTTTACTTTCAAAAATTTCCATCATCCAAGAAGTTAAAGCTATTATCTAAGAAGTCACTTCTTGTTTCTCCTTACCCTAGCCCCTGGCAACCAATAATTCGCATTTTTTGTTTTTTCCCCTTGTCTAGGAGATTAATGTGAATAGAGTTATAAAAATACTGTCTTTCATATGTGTCTTCCTTTTCTTGGCCTAATAGTTTTGACAAAGTCCTCATTGATGCATATTACAGCATTAGTATTTTATACTTTTCTTGTCTGAATAATAGTGATATAGTTGTGCCAAGTAGTAACCTATTACCAGTTAAGGCACATTTGAGTTACTGGACCAGTTAGATGTTATAAAGAATATAATGAACATTTATATGAAATTATTTTTGTTTATGTGAAATCATTGTGCATCAAAAGGCAAGCAGAGGAAACATAACAGGAAGTAAATGATTTCTTGCACAGCAGCTTGAAGGAGCACCTTCTGATACTATGAAAGTTAGCCAGCATGGAAGAAGCTATCACTCAGAGCAAGCTTGATCTCATAATGTTCTACAACTCAAGTGTGAATACTACTTCAATAGCAATAGAAAACAGTATTGTTTATTATGTTAATATATTACTAATATATTACACATTATTATAAATTTTAAATACACTTATTTAATATCTATATTACCTATAAATAATAAATATACCTGATGGATATATGCATTTTTGGGTAAAAACCCACTAGTAGGCCGACTATATATTAAACATTATATATCTACATAAGAAACCAGCTTTCCAAAATAGCTATACTAAGTTTCCATCAAGACCATCAAAATGAGTCCTTTGTTTTTATATGATTATTTGTTCTTTGTATCAGATGTCTAGTTACATAAATTTAAAGTTTCTAATTAAAAATCTTGTGTAGTTTGAACATGTCATATGAAAATTGGACTACATGGAACTGACAATCTGCAGTGGCTCCAAGGACCATAGTTTTCAAAATGATACTGTTTGTTGGCAAAAACAATAGTTCTTCTTCACATTTTTTTTTTGTCCATGTAGTTGCTTACATGTCTTTTTGATAAGGACTGACCTACACCAAACAGTATGTTTGAAGAGATAAACTGTAGTGCCTTTAATTTTCTGACTGTGGGTTATACAATACCATGTCCATAGTGATCCAGCAATTACAGGGTTTACTTCTATAGTAGGTTCCCCTATTCTGTTTAGAATACTTTCAAGAATTCAGTTACTTCTATCATTACAGACACAAATGGGAGAACAAAAATCATCAGCAGGAAGTTTGGGGAGCAGACTTAGAAGAAATGTGTGTTTTTTCCCTGTTAATACATGCAAGGTGGTTAGAGAAAGCTACTGAATTCTGTGTTCGCAGACTTAGAAGAAATGTGTGTTTTTTCCCTGTTAATACATGCAAGGTGGTTAGAGAAAGCTACTGAATTCTGTGTTCTAGAAACAGAATAAATAGATGTGATAAGGGGGCTGGAGAGATGGCTCAGAGGTTAGGAGCACTGCCTGTTCTTCCGAAGGTCCTGAGTTCAATTCCCAGCAACCACATGGTGGCTCACAACCATCTGTAATGAGATCTGGTGCAGAATACAGTATATATAATAAATAAATAAATCTTTAAAAAATAGATGTGATAAATATTTACGAGAAAGTTATTAGAACACTACATTTCAAGTAGTATCATAACAAAATGCCATTACCTTTAGAAATGTAGAAAGCAATGATCAAATCAGAACAAAACAAAATATCCACTAAGAACTCCTTATACAAGTTAGTAATTCTGTTTATTTAGTAAAGAACGTCTCATTTCTAATTTTGAAGGCTAAGTAGCATGAATTAAGTGGTAAGTTATTTGGGTGTAACCCAGGGAAGCCTGTGCCATCTTACCCTGAAGCCCATGGGACTTCATAAAGCATGAATTATGCATTCATCTTTAAAATACCACATAGCTAGAATGCCACTTTTTATTTCTTGAAAGGTAACATTTTAAACATTTAAATATTATTCTAGATATATCATCTAGTATTTTCTAGATAGCAGTATTTAGATTATCCAGGTTTGTCTAAAATTGTACACTTTAGACAGGAAAACAACCTAATACGAAACACTACCTCATTATTTATGGTCTTTCATCATATTTGGAAACATCAACTACCATGATGTTAAGGTGACTGAAAGCATTGGAATCTTTTTACTTGAGGGGAAAACTAAATTTTTCTTGAGGTTAATTTTTATGTACTCATTTGTAAGAACTGTCTTGATAGAGCTGCTTAAAAGTAACCACCATGAAATGGAAGAAACAGGAACAAAATAGATTTAGGAGTAATTTAGAGTTAAAATTAAGGAAGTTTATCAGTATGGCTATAGGATAGGGCCATTTCAGGATCCCTCTCCTCAGATGCCCAAGGAAGTAGCTGGGGACATCTCCCTGGACACCTGGGAACCCCTCTAGAGTCAAGTCTCTTGCCAACCCTAAAATGGCTCCCTTAATTAAGATATATACTTCCTTGCTCCTATATTCACCCTTCCTTTATCCCAACCATCCCATTCTTCCAAGCTCTCCCCATTCTCCCCTTCTCACTTTTCTCTCCCCATTTCCCCTTACCTCATCCCACACTACCCCCAAGTTCCCAATTTTTGCCCGGCAATCTTGTCTACTTCTAATATCCAGGAGGATAACTATTATGTTTTTCTTTGGGTTCACCTTCTTATTTAGCTTCTCTAGGATCACAAATTATAGGCTCAATGTCCTTTATTTATGGCTAGAAACCAATTATGAGTGAGTACATCCCATGTTCCTCTTTTTGGGTCTGGGTTACTTCATTCAGGATAGTGTTTTCTATTTCCATCCATTTGCATGCAAAATTCAAGATGTCATTGTTTTTTACCGCTGAGTAGTACCCTAATATGTATATATTTCATACTTTCTTCATCCATTCTTCCACTGAAGGGCATCTAGGTTGTTTCCAGGTTCTGGCTATTACAAATAATGCTGCTATGAACATAGTTGAACGAATGCTTTTGTAATATGATAGAGCATTCTGTTTACTCCTCCCATCTATGTTCTAAGCTGAGGCCAAGTAGTTGGTTTATTATAACTTAACCAATGAAATCAACAGATTGATATATGACACTCCCACATCACTTCCCCTTTTTCTGTTTAAACAAAAAAAAAAAAA